ATCTATCCATCTAATTTATTATCATCTATTTACCTACTTACTTATTTTGAGACTTGGCTTCCTTGAGTAGCCCTGCCTGGCTCAGAACTCAATCTATAGCCCAGACGAGCTTTAAAACCTCAGCCTTCAGCCTCTGCTTCCCCAGAGCTCCTGTCACCAGCAGGCACCACCATTCCGTCTAGACCCATCTGGATTCTTTTAAGGAGTTCTGCTGTAAGTTGCATGGCTTGGTTTGAGTGTGTTGTCCCCTCTCTGAATTCATGGGCTGGAAATGTAACCCCCCAATTGATATGTTAATGGTGTTTGGAGGCCCAGCCTTTGGGAGCGAATTAGGATTGCATGAGGTAATGAGGGTGGAGGCCTGGGATGGCGGTCCTGGCTTTACAGAACAGGAAGAGCCGCCACCAGGGTCGCACTGTGCTGTGTGATGCTCTCCGCCACATTGTGATGCAGGAAGAGGACCTTGCCAGATGTGAGACTCTATTCTTCATAAATTACCCAGCCTCGGGTACCCTAACAACAGAAAACAGAACGAGATGAGGTATTAACTAGCAGAACAATTGGAATAGAGAGAGGAACTTTTTTTGTCTTTTGCTTCTTTTTCTGATATGTGGAAACAATAGCACTTTTATTAGCAGATTGGCTGGATCTAGTGGGGAATGAAAAGTTCGTGGAAGATGAGGGGAAGGGAGTTTTTTTTTTTTAAAGGAGGCGTGGCCTTGGCATCAAACCTGCATGGAGGAATTAGCAGAGGGGCAGGAAAGCTTGTCTGGAGTGGAGAAGGCAGCCGCCAGGTCACGGTGCGGGCCTCCCGGGAGGCTCCACCTTCCCTCCCTCCTCTCCGCCCCCCTACACCCTTGTTGCAACCTCTATTGGCCAGCCTCAGCCCCGCCCAGCTGGAGAATCACAGAGGAAAGGGCTGCTGGTTATTGGGTGCACGCTATGTGCCATTCGATAGTTAAGAAGCTGAGGGGCTGTCCACGAAACAAACCCCTCATTTTACAAGTGAGGGACCCAAGACAGCTGCAAATGCTCTCCCCACAGATCTCTCTGGCCCCTCACTAACACCCTCCTCAGCCTGTCACCAGAGTTCATTTCCTTTAACATCTACTTAAGACATTCCTTGCGGGGGCTGGAGAGATGGCTCAGTTGTCCCGAGCACTGGCTGCTCTTCCAGAGGACCTGGGTTCAATCCCCAGAGCCCGAACGGTGACTCTCAACCATCCGTCTCCAGTTCTAGAGGGCCCGGCGCCCTCTTCTGGCCTCCTGGGCACACTAGGCATGCACATACATGCAAGCAAAACACATGTTCTATACATCTATGAATAATACATTTAAAACAGACATGTTCTTAGGATCCAGGATAAATTCCTAGCAGGACAGAGGTGACCTTACATTACCAAACCTGACCATGTTGGCCGGCCTCTGTTTCTCTTCTTCCAATAGGTCCTTCACGCCAATCTTTTGTCTTCTCCAAAGAATCCAAGTCCTCCCCCCCCCAAATTCCTCGTGTTCTGTAGACTGAAATAAATACACCTGTCACCTCCCTTCCTGGTCCTCCAACTCAAAGGTGTTTCTTTAGGAAGGCTTTGTGGCGAACCTCATCTCTCCAGCAACCCGAAAAGGTGAGGACCCCCACCCCAAGCCCTTGATCCCCAGTTATAAAATGCATGGATGTGAATCTGAGGGGGTAAGCCCCCTCTCTGGGTCTTAGATTCCCACCCGTAAGGGGTGTGTGTCCACCCCGCCCACAAGAGTGCAAACACATGCAAAGCAGACTTTTTCAGCAATCCATATGTTAGAGCCCATTCCTTGGAAAGTCAGCTCCAAGACTCAGGTTCCTCTTTCATGCAGAACAGAACTGGAAGCCCTTTAGGGCCTGAGGTCCACCTCTGTTCCCTCTGCTACACCACTGTAACAAGAGGTTCTGAAACCGTATTTTATGTCTTGTTTGGAAAATCCTGGGCATAGTTTGACATTACAATCCCTAGTTTGAAAAGGATTTTTTATTTATTGCCTCTTCTTTAGCATACAAGAAAGAGGTCAGCATCTTTCTCCAGGTGAGGAGGCTGGAAAAATAAAAATTGTTGCTAAATACGCTTATTCTTTCTGTCAAAAGTAGCTTTTGAATGTCTTCTGCCCCCCGCAGCCTCTGTGAGACAAGCATTTGTCTCATTAGCAACGTTTCTGTTGGGGATCTAGCTCAGGGGTCGAGGGCTTGCCTGGCATGCTTGCCAATCCGGACTCCATCTTAGAAAAAAAGAATTCTCTCACCCCCTTCTGCTTCGTTTTGTGTATAGATGTCTTCTGGCTGAGGTACACCTCAGAGTGTGTCCACAGCGGCGTGAACACAACCAAACAGAAATGGTATTACATTTGAAATCGTGCATTATAGGTAATGATAGAGTGGGCCCTGAAAGCGGTAATTAGCTTACAATGTGCTCCCAGGAAAATACTCAGACACCCTGATTAATGTTCCCTCAAGCAGCCAGCCCCTGTAAGGAGCTACCATTGTACTTCCCAGAACTCACTCTCCCAGGATATTATGATAACTACCACGTTGGATTGTGCTAAGTGAATAGGTCTGGGTGCGAGAGGGTGGTGAGATGAAACGGAGATGAAGTCCAAGGGTTTGCTTTTCCCGCTCTGCTAGAAAGAAAGAACCAGCCAGCCATAAGGGGGAGGGGTGATTCAGGGTCCGAGGACGTAACCGGAAGCCCTGCCGGTGCCTGCTTAGTCTGTGAGATTATAAACTGCTGTTCCAAACCGGTTCCTATTGGGTACGCCTGGACACTAAACAACAGAAAGAGAAAAGTGGGGTCCGCTTCAGAGCAGCAGAGAAGCACCCTGAACTTGACTTTGAGACTCTTGCACAACCTTCCCGTCCCGCAGGATGCAGGGCCATAGACTGTCTTTCAGGTAACGACACTGTCAACAGACCGTCCCCTTGGTGCCTGGGTCTGGCTCCATCCCAGATGAGCTTCTGGACTGTGGTTACTGACCAGCCCAAGGCAGGACATACTCACAGCTGCAGGTCAGAAGCTTGTGCTCCATGTGGGGATCCTGTGGCTCGGGGAGAGAATGGACCAGGAGGGCCTGAGCTGCTCTGAGGGCGAGGACTGTCTAGCCCTGTTTCTTTCCTCAGAGCACATGTGAGTTGGAAGAGGAGAGTGCTCCCCTCTGTGGGAAGTGCATGCTGCTGAGGGCTGTGTCAGGGGCTTTATATCCAGGAAGGCTTCCATCTGCTCTGTGGTTGCAGATAAAGATGTCACCTGTCCAACTCCCAGAGGTAAAGGGGCTGAGGGTGTGACGCAGAGCCTCTGCGTGTCTTCACCACCCAACCCAGCTTCCCCAGAGCCCTGGAAGTACCTGAAGTAGAAAAGCCACCTAGGAGTGGCCATCTCAGCAGGGTAAACTACATCCCGGTGAGTTTCCCATATGGCTCCGCCTCAAAGCAACGTTAGCATGTTATGTCATGTCTGGAAACTGTAAGTGAACATGGTTTGTTTGTTTGTTTAAAGCCATCCATCAATGCCAACCATTCACCAATGGGCGTGCACGCTGGGAGTGTTTGAAGCGCCCCCCCTCTGGCCCGACGGTAGACTGCAGGTGGAGAGGAAGGGGTGCTTCCGTTGGGTGGAGGATAGGTACCGTGTGCCCAAGGCTCCTAGTACCTGCCAATTGGTGTGTAGGAGCCCGAGAGCAGGGGCAAAGCCCAAGGTGCTACTGTCACGCACGAGTCACCGGCGGCTGGGTGCAGGCACAGCACAGCCAAGAGCCCGGGGAGCTCCTCGGGTGCTGCCTCAGGGGAGTGTCCACAGAGATACTCCATGAGCTGCGGCAGCATTTCAGCGGGAGCCACCTGCCCGGAGCCTTTACGGCCTCGTGGGAGCCGGCTCTTATTTATGAGTGCGCCCCGCCCCCCATATTCAACAACGTGGGCCCGCAGTGAGTGCTCAGTGAGTGCTCAGTGAGACCCTGTGGGTAGGATGGTTTGGAGGAAGAGGCTGTGCGGGGAATAATACTGTGAGGTGACTCTGTCTGGCATGCGTTGGTGGTGGTGGGAGTCCTGTTCACTAGGTTATCGTGCCCGGGACTTGAAAGTGGAATTGGAGGTTGGGGAGTCAGAGGAGGCTAGGATGCCATCTGCGCGAGCTTGAATATTTATATTCCCCACTAAAACCCGTGTGGGGTCTTAGTGCCCCCGTAGCAGTGTTGTGGGGGTGGGGACTGGTGGGTGTTTGGGTCCTGTGGGCCAAGACTGGCTGAGCTGCTGTGAGAGACACTTTTGTCTAATCCTTGCGTTTTTCTCTTCCACACCTATACACTTCCCTTCCCGCTGTGAGTTAGAGCGGCAGGAAGCCGGAAGCAGGAAGCCGGAAGCAGGAAGCCGGAAGCCCTCTTCAGAAGCCCAGAGGATGCGGGTACCACACTGGGATGCTTCCTGGACCCCAGAGCCTCAAGTTCAAATAGACCTCTTGCCCATTCTTAGGCATTCTGTTACTGCAACAGGAAGCTGACAAAGACACTGTTCCCAACACAGTCAGTATGGCTGGACAGGAGTTGGCAGATACGAAAAGCAGAGTACTATGATCAGAGTTGAGTCTCAAGAAAATTAATCTAGCCACATCTAAAATATCATGGATAAGTGCATGACTCAGAAACCAGCTTCAGCTCTTTTTGAGACAGGGCTTCTCTGTGTAGCCCTGGCTGTCCTGGATCTCATTCTGCGCCTGCCTCTGTCTCCTGAGTGCTGGGTTTAAAAGTGTGCATCGCCACCCCCCGCCCCGCCCCCCAGCTCAGTTTCACTTCTTTGGTGGTCATCTCTTTGCTTGGTAAAGGATGGTTCCTCGGCTAAGCAGAACTGGGTTGTATGGCATGGTGGCCGCAGGCTGTGTGGAGCCCTAGGGTGTGCTGATGGAGTAGCCGCCCAAGGAACAGTTCCTCATGCCTGGTGGTGAACCACCCACAGGCAGCCTCCCTAGAGTGGCCCTTCTTACCAGTAGTCCAGTTTCAGGGGGACAGCTTCCAGGCCACCAAGCTGACAGTAGGGCTCCAAGTTTGAGAGCTCATATAGCTGTAGTTCCCGGCTCCTGACCAAGGCAAGCACAGTTGATGGTGACTGGGAGCTCCTCACTCCATCTCTGGTGAAGTCTTTTAAATCCCACAGATCCCATAAAGAGAAAGCCCCCAACCAGTGGAAACCCTGCCCTATGGGGCCCCAGTCCCCAGGCTTCCTGAAGCTCTGTACGCAGACATCTTTTCAGCTGGGTGCTAAGCCTGGCCACACAGCTGGCCCTTCTCCATCAGGGCCTAGCTGCTACAGTTTCCTGCCTCCCAGGCTCTGGAGCTTGCTTCTGAGTTCCCTTCTCTGAGAACTGTGGTCCTAACAATGTCTATGGTAGGGATGAGCCGCCGAGACACCATGAGATGGCACATGAGAGAAGAGTTGGTCCAAAGCCTGGGGACTGTTGAGAAGGACGTCAGGGCATCAGACTTGAAGAGGAGGAGTGAAGAGCTCTTCACTAACTAAAACGTTAACCTGATCTTCCCTCTGTGCCCCTCTTCCCTAGATCATTACAACCAGTACCGTGACCCGCCCCTCCTGCACTTGGCCTACCTTGGGATGCTGAGAGGAGAGCAATTTTGTGAGGGCGACAAAAACAACTGATAGTTCACACCACTCCCTATTCCAGGCCCTAGGCCCGAGCCTCCCTGTGCTAAATGTCACTTTCTCTCATTTCCTTTCTAACGGTGCAGTTCCAACGTGGCTCCCTGGCCCCTGGTGAAGTCTGCTGTCTCCTCTTTCCACCGACCAGTTCAGAGTGTTTAATAAGTTACCATGTCAGCCTCTGAACTGTGGTGACACCACGCACCATAAGGTCTTTTTCAAAACTCAAACAGTGGGGGGAGGCTACCATGTCAAGTGAAATGTGCCACAGAGAGAAAAGACAGACATCGTGTGTTCTCGCTGGTGGAGCTGACACACGTGGACCTCAAAGAACTGAGCTGGGTAGGGGCTGCTGGAGACTGGGAAGGGCAGTGGAAAAGGGGGTGTGGGGGAGGATGGAGAGAATTTAAATTAGGAACTCCGAACACAAAGAGGAGTAATTCTTATTTTCTCTAGAACGCATGCACGCGGGTGGGGGGGGCGGGGGGTAACTATTATTTAAAATAAACTATAATACCTTTCATTTCTCAGTGACTAGAAATCTCCAACACATAAAAATGATTAATGCTTGATTGATGATTAATCGAAGTAAATATTACCATGATTTGATCATTACACACAGTATCCATATATCAGATTAGTATATTGAATCCAATAAAGGTGTGCAAATGTTATGATTTTAAAAAGGGAAATAGGGGCTGGCAAGATGGCTCAGCTTGATGCTCTTCCACAGGTCCTGAGCTCAGTTCCCAGCACCCACATCAATGGTTCACAGCTACCTATAACTCCAGTTCCAGTGGCTCTGATGCACCCTTCTGGCCTCTCTGGGTATTGCACTCACATGCATAAACACACACACACACACACACACACACACACACACACAAATAATAAATCTTTTTAAAAAATGATTATAAAAAATAAATATAGTAAAAAATCAAAAAATCAAAGCAAGCTGAGTTTATCAACTTAAATTTGTTGTTTAGTAGTTAGCATAATACTAAATTGATTATATTAATTATATTGATATTTCAATTTATATTTTGTGATGATGAACTCATAAATATAGGAAGCATTAAACAACATGAACAATTGTATCTAATAAAATGACTGGGATAGGCTTGGCTTGGGTTAGCTATTAGGTCATGGACGTGCTTAGAGTAGCTAAGGCCTAGAGCCCCAGTGACATGTGGAACAGAGTGGTGGAGAGGACGTTCCAGCATGAAGGGCTCATACGGCAGGCAGAGTCGTGGGGTCCCTCAACCTGCTCCTTAACTGCAGCCACAGCCCCGAGCTCAGCAGCCTTCAGCTTCCACCCTCCCTCTGGGATCTTAGTTCACACTCCCGAGGGGGCGGGGGTGGCGGGGGGAGGGGGGGCGGAACCTTCAGGACCTCAGCCTCAGCGGTGAGTGGCCACAGCGAGTGCTCCCTTGTTGGCACTGTGTACTTTACCCTTTGAATTCATCCAGTGCAGTCAAGACTCAATTTAGACGGATAAGAAAACAAATACACCACTTAATCCAAATAAAGTGTACTTAAGAAGTACTCAGATGAACCGTCTCCTCGTGTGGCCCTTTCTTGGGTCCAGAAGTATTTCCTACAAGAGGGCATCCTCTGAGCTAATGTGATCGCTGCAAGAAGCCACACAAAGTGCATCTCTGCGCAGACACGCGGGTTCTAAGACTTGGAAGACTCCCACTTTAGCCCCACACTGCAAATGCATGTATTTGCGTGATCTCAGGCGTGGATATGCATCTCATCAAACCGCTCCCTTTGAGTTGCAACTTCCCATACTTACCCAGTCCCGACGATTAGTTTGTTATACTGTGGCATGCTGGCAATGTCTGTCACCCACTGGGACTTCCGACGGGGGGACTTGCCCTACAGGATAGAAAGGTGAAAATAAGCAGATGCATATGCCTTTTTAAAAGAAATTGTATTTATTTAATATAAATTTGTTTTTTTATTGAAAAATATTTTACTTTTGTTTTATGTACATGACTGTTTGCCTACACCATGTATGGCCTCGACATGTGTGCCTGGTGCTCTCAGAGGCCAGAAGAGGGCGTCAGTTCTCCCGGAACTGGAGTTTCAGACGGTTGCGAGATTCCAGCTGGGTGCTGGGAATTGAACTCAGGTCCTCTGAAAGAGCATCCAGTGCTCTTAAATGGCCATTTCTCCAGCCCCTGTAGTTTTCTTTTATTGCTTTTCTCCTTCAAGGGGAGGAATATGTTTCCTTTGAAGAACTAAGCCAGTGCCCTCCCTGGAAGGGGCTATTCAGCGACCTGAGAGGCTTAACTGTCACTTCCGGTTCTAAGCTGCCGAGGGGCAGAGACAGGGCTTTCCATCCCAACACGCAGGGGCGCCCAGCCTATTTCATCACAGGAGCTCAAATATTTGTTGAATGAGAAGATGTGGGGAGGGAGGCAGAAATGGGCCGGGCATTCTCTCTTCTAATTACACTTCCCAAATGCACGTGGGCTTCCGAGTTTCTGCTCAGCGATTCAGAAGCAAGCCTAGCAGAACTGCCTCGCAGGCGGGCACAACCACAAAAGGGGGCGGGGCTCGCTTCCATTTGTCATCGAGTAAGACACATGATAAATTACATGACAGAAGCATGTGTAATTCATCATTTCATCTGATGTTAGGAGCAAAACGGAGCATTATCTTGTACTCTCGTGTTTTATTTGCATCCCAGAGACTCGAAAAAATCTGCCACGACTATCTATTCAAGGGCACAATTTGTGTAATCACGCCACTTAAGGAGCAGTTTAAAATAGCAAATAAAATCAAATTGTAGCACTCAGCATCCTTATCAAATGAAAATCACATACAAAAATTGGCTTTTTTCTTTTCAACTTCAGCTGCGGGGACCAGAAATAAATAGCTCCATCTTCTCGGATGGTGATTAAGGTGTCATCAGGCATAGAGAGGATGCGCAGCACGGGCCTCCCATAGGACAGCCTCTTCTGTGTGGCAGGCAGCAGGAGCACAGCCTCTGCCCGCCGAGCCGCGGCCTTGGCTTGTTCCGAGTACTCTAGCTGTAGGTATGTGCAGAAGCCATCCTGGGGAGCAAAGGACAAACGCTTAAGCCGTGCTGTCTTTGGGGGCTTTCAGAAATTCTCCTTCCTGTCAGGGACTGGACAGAACTCTTTTCTTGGACACTGATATAATTGTTAGCGCACACTGCCAACTTGGGGAGCAGGAACTGTGGGGTGCCTTCAGCTGGGCCTGGAGGTCTGCTGCCCAGCTGTCTGTCTGTCTTCCTATACTTTCCTTCCTCCTCGAAGGGTGGTTTGGGGGGCGAGGTGGGCATCTCAGCAATGGCGGTGGTTGTTTCTAGCTAGCCACGTACCATGCGTGGCCCACACAGCATGGGCCTTCACCTCGATTCTCAATAGGAATATAGTTCGTCCCTTTTTACAAATTGAAAGGCTCGAGCATGGAAAAGTCCAGTGGCTCACTTAAGAATGAATACCTCAGAAATGGCTGGCCAGGGACTTGCCCCCTGTCTGCCCAACTAGACAGTTCACGTATCTCCCTTAGGATCTTAGCAGTATGCCCACAGATCTTTGCGGCTTAAGAAAAGGAAGGCGGCCTTTGAATCTGAGACATGGAGGTAGATAGCTTTGGACAATAGGAATTTTTATTTCCTATCAATTTCTCCCAACCCCCCCCCCACTTTGCTGGATGCTTTCGTTTTGTGCACCCAGAACCTCGAATGCTCTCTTTCAAACCAGATGACAATTCGAAGCACTTACATCTGATTCGGTTTCGTGAATTGGCCAAAGGTCTGAATAGAGATGCCTTACTGCTCAATTTATCATTTTTAAACTTAATTCATCTGCAGACCATGGAAGGGTATTGATGGGCAGGATGACCAAGAATGGTAAAAGCAGATGTCTTACCTCTTCATCATCACACATTGGAAACTGAGTAATACTGATGACGGTGGTGATATTCGTGGAGGACTTATTCCTGGCTCTACACCCTTTGCAGGTGCTCACAGCATCGGCCACCAGCGGCCATTGCATCCAAGGGATTTTTTGCTTCCTGTTCTCTCTTTGGCAGTTAGGTGAAGTGGTGGACGTGGCTCCAGCTCTTGGTTTTAGGGTAGCCTATGTGCAGCCTGCCTGAGCTACTGAGATTCCCAGGTTAGCTCCCTCACAGAAGAATTTGAAAGTTGCAAGCAAGCAGTTCTCTTGGGTTCAGCTTTGACTGGCCAAAGGGACTAAGCCAGCCTCCAAAGCATGTGTCATGTGCCTTCCTGACCAATTTTAAGTTGGGTTTACACAGTGTAACTTACCCACTGGATTCTCCCGACTGCCTCATAGTCTATTTTCATGAAGAGTTGCTCTATTTGTGCAGTACTCTGGGGAGGAAAAAAAATAGGTTTATAGGCTTCACTAGATTATTAGAAAAAGATGTGCTGATATGGCAGACAACACCATGAACACAGGTTTAATGAGGTTTTTGGAATGTGTCTAAATAATCCCTTTCACCCCGAGGGATGGCCTCATAAAAGCCTGAGATCAGAGATGGGACAGAAAACAGAAAGCTCATGGTGAAAGCCACCACAGAGTGCATACAGCCTGCCTGTCCAGGTCACAGTGGAGCCTGGGAGAGCTTGAGTGTGTTCAGGGGGTCCCTCTCAGGCTCTGGATGAGGCAAACGTAGCTGTGCAGCATTGTGAGTCATGTTGTAAGGATGTGGGCCAGCAAGAGTCGCCCTGCCACCCTGTAGCTGTGCCAGGAGTGACCCAGCCTGAGGAAGCTGGGATCAGCCCAGGGTTGGGGTACACATGTTACTGAATGAGTAGGCCCGATCTCGTGGGCCACTGAGGGGCACTGAGCTATCATATTAGCCAGCTCACCGAGAAACCCCACAGTGCGCACCAAGGGTGTGGCAAACACTGGGGGAGGTCAGGGCATCAGAGCTGAAAGATGGAGGAGTAAAAGCCTGTGTCTCACAGGGGCCTGGCTGGGTGACAGCTTTTTGTCATCACAGTTAGAACTGAACCAACACATGGACTACACACGAAAGATTTTCCTCATGACACGAGTTACCTATGGTAAAGGACAAGCTGTTTGGACTCTGTCAAGATTTCATAATGGTCTCTCATCAAACAAGAACACTCAACTTGAAGCTCCAAGATGTGGGCCAGAGGCTGGCTTAGCAGGCTTGGGTCCTGCTCTTCTAAAGAACCCAAGTTCAGGTCCAAGCAGCCACGTTGGGTGGCTCACAACCACCTATAACTCCAGCTCCAGGGGATCCAACACCATCTGCTGACCACCTTGGTCACTGCACATGCACGGCACACACACACAAAATGAGAGAGAGAGACAGAAAGATAAAGCGAGGGAAGGAGGGAAGTTGGAAACTTGGAAATATGGTTGTCGCACACAGGGAGAATTCAAGAAGATATTGCACTGTCTACAGCCATTTGTGCCGAGTGAAATGTGGCCCAGAACATCATGAAGGAGCCGTGAAGCCCTTTGGCACTTATTAACAAAGAGTTATTGATTTCTGACTGTCTACTCACAGGGCCTCAGGGTCTCTGTGTGTTTTATTCCATCAGACCCTGTTCAGGAGGCGTCTCCCTCCCATTTCACCATGAAAGAGAGCCTTACAGCTGCTGAGTCAACTCCCCTGAAGTCCCTGGCTTAGAAACAGATTCGGGTGTAACAGCCCTCAGCGCCTCCAGCCCCGGATCTTAGAGCTTCGTGTTGAATTTTCATCTATAACCAGAGACTATTATGAAACCTTGACGGACAGTACCTCACCAGTGTGTCCTTCATCATGTATAACTGTTGTCGTGGTCGTGGGTAAAATCCTAGGTGTGTAGCGTATGTGTGAGTACATGTTCAGGTGTGCAAGCACACGTGTGCACATGCGTATGGAGGGCTGACACCAGGCGTTTTCCTCTATGGCTGTCCACCTTATTTTTCAAGACTGTTTCTCACAGAGCCTGAAGTTCCCATCAGGCTCCCGGCATCCATGCTCCTGCCTCCGGCCTTTTCCCATCCCACGCCCTCCCCCTCCCCGTTACTTCCGGCACTGGAGCTACAGATGAGCGCCAGTACACCAGCTCTTTACTTGTATGCCAGGGAGCTGAACTCAGATCCTATGCTTCTGCAGCAAGCACTTTACCAACTGAAGATTCCCCCGGCCCCTAAGTCTTGCTCACTAAGACTTTATACTCTAGTGAGTTGCCCAGGCTTCAGAGAATAGCCCCACCCATCCCACCCATGCTCATGGAAGCAATCCTAATTAAATTCAGGGCCCCACCAAACCAAAAACCAAAGAACCAAAACAAACAACAACAAAGCCATGAAAGTAGGAGGGAGCTGCTGGGAACAGAAAGGGTTAAGTAGGCATAGAGGAGGGATAAGGCAGGTGCGGGAAAATGACCAAAATGCATTACATACATTATATGTGTGTATGATTGTCAAAGAATACAAAAGGAAATTTAAAAAAAATAAAATAAGAAAAACGTTTGTATTCTGAGCTAACCAAGATGGCAGCTAATGAGTAAATCATTTGATTCCAGCAGTCAGGGAGGTGGAGGAAACCTAAGAGAAACTAAGTGGTTGTCTTTGGAATAAAAGCATATATACAATTAAGCAATAATCTAATAAGAGTCTTGTTCTCCTCCTAAGAAAAGTCTCTACATGTCTCATTGCTGTAGGCTACCCTGTAGTTTAAAACCCTCCCTGAGGAAGCTGTCCAGTAAGTCAGCCAGGTCTTAGTAGAGAGGAGCATCATCCACAGAGATGCCGGGATCTAGTGGGCGTGTGTGGTTAACACCACTACCTGCGCTCGCCTTGATCCGATATGTATAAAACCCACTTACGTGGCCGTGCGACCTCATACTCTGCTTCATTATGCATTTGAACGTTTCCATATCCAGCAGATGTCTTCCTTTCTTTCCATGTTCCTACAAGTAAAATAAAGAGGAAGATAAACACTTGCCTGAGAACTTAGACATTGTGTTTTGTTGAGTCTAGGAGCACAAGTCCAAAGAATTGAATGTCTAATTAGACTCACCTAAGACTGCTGACCTCTCATGGGAGTTTTGTTTTGTGCACTTTTTTGAATCAGTTAAAAATTAAACAATTAAAATAGAAACAAATTAAATGGTGAAAAGAAAAGCAATGTGTTTTTAATTCCATTAAGAAGTGACAACCAAAAAGCTATTCTTCGTGGTTATTTTTTTAGAAATTTTAAAAGTCTGTACTTTGCAGTGAAATATCAAGTACCAAGAAAAGAATCAAATTGCCCAGATAGGTGTTTGAAAGTTTACCTGGCTTGTGCCTACCTGAAAGAGTGCGTGTACTTGTTGGAGCTCATCCAGGGTCACTTGATGCTCAACCTCATGAAAACGAAAGACAACAAATTACAGCCAATAACGCGAAGAATAATACCCATTAAATGGAATTTCTTGTCACCGGTAATTTATTTTCCCATAAAGCCCGTGACAGGCGGTGGTGGCCCACGCCTTTAATCTCAGCACTTGGGAGGCAGAGGCAGGCAGATCTCTGTGAGTTCAAGGCTAGCTTGGGCTACAGAGCAAGATCCAGGACAGGCTCCAAAGCTACAGAGAAACCCTGTCTCAGAAAAAAAAAAAAAGCCAGTTGTAGATGTAACCAACCATCTTATTAAATAAGAAACACAGAACCAATGTAAAAGAGAAAGCCAAGAGATCAGAGCTCAGAGCTAAAATCTCACCCTTCCTCCTGCGGTGGTCTTAGCTTCCCGAAAGAGAGCTATTTCCCTGTGTGTAAGTCGTTTCATAGTCATTCTGCCTTCTCATTGGTTGTAAACCCAAACACGTGACTGCCTCGTCACTGTCTGTATGTACAGCCCCTCAGGTCTTAAAGGCATATGTCTCCAATGCTGGCTGTATCCCTGAACACACAGAGATCTATGGGATTAAAGGCGTGCGCCACCACTGCCACACTCTGTCTATGGCTCTAATAGCTCTGACCCCCGGGCAACTTTATTTATTAACATACAATCAAAATCACATTTCAGTCAATTAGAATACCACCATAGCCCGTGACAGAGCTGAGCAACCCAGCTGGATTTTCAGTGTTCGGAGCCTCTGTTGGTCCTGTTCAGCGCCCAGCCCCAGATTCTGCCATCAGGTTGGGTGGTCTGGGCTGGGCTGGGATGGTAGAGAAAGAGGACGTGAGAGAGGATGAGGGTAGGTACCAACTTAGAGGAAATAAAAGAAGGAAAGAGACTGGAAGCTGGACCAGAAGGAGAAAAGGGAGAGGGAGATGACTTTGCCTTGATTCTAAAGACCCTGTTCTGTGAACAGATTCCAGCCCAGGACCCCTGTGCCTTCCAGCTTTCAGGACTGCCGGGGATGTTCTGGGGAACGAGTTTCTCCATCTTTTCCTGGGCTAAATGTTTTGGCCGGAAAGAGGCAGGTTCTCTCTTAGTCTATCCCCCTCAGCTCAGTACACAGATCACCAGCGTACATTTCTCACTCCCAGTCTCTTATCTGCTATATCAAAATTTTGTCTTTTTATCCGTACAAATCCCCAAACTTCTGACTTAGAATGAAAGGCAGTGGGTAGGGATGAGTTCAGTTGCAGAGTGACCTGTGATAGACAGAGACGGAGAAACTGGCATTTCTAGGGAGCAAATTCAGTGTTTTCATCAATCAGACTTTGCCCAGGATCCACAAAAGCTGGTGCAACTTTCCCAGGCTCACAGGCCATACAAATGAGAAAGTCTGTGAGCTGAGCTTTCACAGGAAGGCGAAGCCTTGGGAGGACCAGGTAACTACAGGTTTGTATAAAGCGATTAGATAGATGATAGATAGATAGATAGATAAATAGATGTGGTGATATTTTATTTGTACTGAAATGTGATTTTAATTTTATGTTAATAAATAAAGCTGCCCTGGGGTCAGAGCTATTAGAGCCATAGCAAGAGCATGGTGGTTAGAAGAGCTAGGTAGATTTCTGTGTGTTCAGGGATACAGCCAGTATTGGAGACATACG